CTTAAAAATAGTATCAAATTGGGCCGCTGTACTAGAACCCCAAAATGGAAGCCCATATCGAAGATGGGACTCGAACAATGAGAAATATGCCATTTTGGCAGAAGATAAATTTAGTTCCTTCGAAACAGATCTTATTGCAAAGCAAGCTGAGGCTAGTTTCTTCCTTAAGGAGTTAGTATGCAAGGACCATTTGAGATCACTGTCAATGAGAATACCTAGAAATTTCACGGAATTTACGATATTGATTTGGCTCTCATTTAAAAGCAAGGGTTGCATGACTCCTTTATAAGATAATGCTACAGTCTTATCCACATTAAAGCTAAGTAAGTTGGAGTCTGACCAAGCCTTCATTATACCTAAGTAAATCAGCGGTTATAATTGAATGAAGCGTTGAAATATCAGAGCTGCTCCAAGTAATACTGGTATCATCAGCAAATAGAAAAATTTTCCCTTTAATTTTCAAGTAAGTGATGTCATTAATGAAAAGTAAAAAAAGAATGGGAACTAATACTGAACCTTGCGGTACTCCACACTCAATATCTTTACAGCTAGAGTCGGCGTCATTTATTCTAACCAATTGTTTCCTACCTACCAAGTAAGTTTTGAACCAGTTCAAAGACACACCCCGAATTCCATAGAAAGTTAATTTTTTTAATAGAATGTCGTGATTTACGCAGTCAAAGGCCTTGGAATAGTCGCAGAAAACGGTGGCGGGGGAGAGGTTACTGTTTAGTGATAGATATACATCATGTAACACAGAAAATATGGCATCACTAGTGCATTTATTAGACAAAAAGTCGAACTGATTTTGCTATAAAATATTATATTTAAGGAGAAAGGGCATAAGTCGAACTTTTATATGTCTTTCAATAATTTTTGATAGTGCTGGTAACAAGGCAATAGGTCTATAGTTGCAGGCATCAAATTTTTCTCCACCTTTATGAAGAGGAATGACGATGGCAGTCTTTAGGCAGTTAGGGAATGTACCTTTTCAAGGGAATCATTTACTAGCGAGACCATGACCTCCAAAACATTATGCGGTAGATTTGAGAAAATTTTAATAGATAATCCATCTGTACTACAGGACGATGTGCTTTTTATACTACGAATTGTTGAAATGAGTTCCGTCTTATCAACTGGTCTTAAAAAGAAGGTATCAGCAATGTTTTTTGAATTAGAGAGATAGGAAACTGGATCTTGTTGTGGCGAAATAGTTGAGGTTATATTTTTACTCACATTAACAAAGTAATCATTTAGATTTTCGGGGTTAGGAAAAGACAAGGTTTGATTCGCTGTACTGGTTTTATTTAGAAAATCGTTTATTATTGACCAAGTTTCTTTTGAAATATTTTTGGAGCTTGTTAAGCGATTATGAAAGTAGGATTTTTTTGCTCAAAGTTGATCGTTTTGTTAATAGGTTATTTCCACAAATTGTACTTGCATGCTGGAGAGTATTTATTGCAAAATCTACTGAGAACAATTTATTGGATTCTGTCTAGTCATCAGAAGTAGAATTTATAGATGTAATCGTTGTTATTGTCTTAATCCTAAACCTACATATCCTATGATGGCTGAGTTACTTCGCCGTAAGAGTCAATCAGTCAAAGGCTTTTTCGCACACTGTTACCCACATGGCTTGCGTATGTTTGTTTGTCTAAGTACGAAAGCCATGCATGTCGAATTAGTCTCCTCGCTCTTTACATATTATTTCTCAGAAGCTTTCAAAAGATTTTTATCTCGCACTGGAAATTGTAAGTTACGAATAATGGCACGAATTTTGTGGGTGCAAAGAGTCCTCGATGAGATATATGAATTAACTAGTTCCAAAACTTATAAAGTTGCATTTCAACAGGAACTCTATAATAAAATTTTTTTGGAAAATGAAAGTATTTTATGGTAGTCACTTCGGTGGTATTTTGGAAAGCAATATAAAGAGCGTAAACTACACTTAAGTAGGGTTATTGACAATCAGATCCTTTTATGAAGAATTTTTAACTGTTTTGAAACAAATCGAGTGCCCTTTGAATTCGCGTCCTCTTTGTGTTCAAAGTAACTACCCTGAAAATCCTGTTGCACCGACTCCCATCTGGTTTTTTATGTACGGAACTTTTAGTGTCGTATTGATATTGATAAAAATATGAGTAGAGGAAGTTGGTACACAGAGAGACGAAAAATGAATTACTGGTGATTTAATTTTTTGAATCATCGATAAGAACTGACAGCTTCAGTCACAATGATTCTTGGTATTTTATATATCGATTCCACAAATAAAGGAGAGAAGGTGGGAATGGCGCTCAGTGGGGAATGACGCTCACCACAGTTTACCTAGCCCAGTCGAGTTTACTACGTCCCGTTTGATGTCATTGCCTCCTCGGAGCCCTCCCGAACTAATCGGAAGCATAACTGTGTCGATATTTAGCATCGGTCGGCGGTTCTGACAGAAAACGTGAAATTTTGTGATTTTACTGTAATATTTTTGTCGCAAATATCTGAAGGTAAGTTGTAATAACGTTATTTTGTAGTATTATATCATATACTTATTCGATGAGATGTGTCTTGGATGTATTTTTAACCTAGAAAAATTGTGTCACCATATTTGTTGAAGCTTTCAGTTTGGGGCAATTCCGCTCAAGCTGATCGTGATTACCCCGTTAGAGAGCGGCATTGCCCCAACTGGTATTTGGCTGTTAATCTTAAAAATTATGATTAATTATACATAATTATTTGGTTTCAGATGGTTCGTAATAGAAAAAGGACAACCACTAAAGCACAATGGTCACCAGAAGTAATGATAGCTGCCATAGAAGCTGTGAGGTCCGGAAGAAAAATTAGGGAAGTGACACGTACTTTCCAAGTGCCATACAGTTCCCTTCGAGATAGACTTAAAGATAATTATTATGACCCTCGACTCGGAAGAAGGTCCACATTTTCTACAGAACAAGAAAGGTTAATTCAGAGTCATGTTTTAAAATTATCAAATCAATTTTACGGACTCACAGCTCTTGAATTCAGAAGGATTGCTTTTCAATTTGCGAAAGCAAATAACATAAAAAATATGTTTAATGAAGCAACTCAGTTAGCAGGGAAAGATTGGCTACATAGATTTTTAAAAAGAAATCCACAAATTAGCCTTAGAAAGCCAGAGGCAACTAGTCTTAACCGAGTTAAAGGGTTTTCTAAGGAAAACGTAGCAACATTTTTTCGTAACTTGGAAAATGTCATGGAACGCTATAAATTTGATCCTTCATCGATTTACAATATGGATGAGACAGGGATTAGTACGGTGCATAAGCCCATACAAATACTAGCACCCAGAGGACAAAAACAGGTAGGGATAGTGACAAGTGGAGAACGCGGCCAAACCACCACCGTTTGCTGTGCGTTTAGTGCTTCTGGAGCTTTTATTCCTCCCATGTTTATATTCGCAAGGAAAAGAATGACTCCTCAGCTACAAAAAAATGGACCCCCTGGATCAATATACAAATGCTCAAAATCTGGTTGGATCACGGAGGAATTGTTTTGTGAGTGGTTAAAACATTTTACAAAACATTCAAATGCTACAAACGACAATCCCGTTCTTTTGATTACCGACAATCACAGCAGCCATATTTCTCTCGATTGTTACAACCTCTGCCGTGAAAATGGAATAGTTCTACTCTCTATCCCTCCACATACCTCGCATCGACTACAGCCTTTGGATATTTGTTTTTACGGTCCTCTAAAAAAAGCTTACAATCGTGAATGCGATTTATTTATGAAATCAAAACTTTTAGAAAAAATAACAAATTATGAGATTGCTGAATTATTCAACAAGGCCTATGGAAAAGTTGCCTCGATTGAAAAGGCTATTAAAGGGTTTAGTTCTGCCGGTATATATCCTTTAAACCCCTTCATATTCAATGACGATTTTCCAGATTTTAATGATCAAGAAAATGACCATACTGTGGATAACACGACAAATACTGTCGCAGATGAACAGCAGCCTTCTACCAGTAGAACAATTTCCCATTCTGTAAATAGAATAACCAATGATTCATCCAATGATGCAAAATCGTCTAACAAAAATAGCGGAAATGCTGCTACCGATAAACTTCAAGCCCTTGAAACATCATTACATAATATCACACCTCTTCCTACAATACACAATAGAGCAAATAAAAGGCAAGTTGATAGAAAGAAACAGACATCTACAATACTAACATCAACACCAATGAAAGATTTTTTGGAAGAAAAACATAAGAAGAAGAATGAAAAAATTGAAAAATCGAAAACCACTAAAATCAAAGAGGAAAAAGTACGCAAAGTGACAAAGAAGGTTTTGCCCTGATAAGTTACGAGATGTGTTGTCAAAATTTTCAAATGTTTTTAAAAAAGAGATTCCTATAACGATAAAAAAGTCAGTTTAGAAATTGATGATTAAGTCCATTTTCCACAAACCTCACCCAGTTCCGTTTGCTTTTCGTGAGAAGGTGAAAAGTGAATTTCACAAATTAGAAGCTGAAAAGATTATAGAGAAAATTTCAAACTAAAATTGGGGAACACCGTTAGTGCCCGTTATGAAAGCAAATGGGAATATTTGTATTTGTGGCAATTATAAAATAACAATGAACAAGTATTTTAAAGATTTTAATCATCCCTTACCCAGAATAGATGATATCTTTGTTGCTTTACAGGGTGGTCAAAAATTTACTAAATTGGATTTTTTAAATGCTGATAATCAATTAGTTTTAGATGATGATACTATAGTCGTTTGTTATCGTGGAGAACTTTGTATGGTATTTATAAGGTAAATCATTTGACTTATGGTACAAAACCTGCTTGTTCAATATTTCAAGATGTTGTAGAAAAATTTGTACAGTAAAAACTAACTTAATCGGCCATTATTGTACATCTGCCATGAACCCATTTATCCTACAAACATAGTTTTTATTGCAATTTTGTATTTTATATTTCACAGCATCTTTAATCAGTATAAATGTTTAAAAATAAAACAAAGGAAACAATATTAATTGTTTATCAAAAACAAACAGCTTTATTACAAATTAAATTAGCCAACATACAAATAAAACAACGCCGTTAAACACACCTTAAGGCAAAAATGCAGTACGTATCAACATTTCCAGTTGATCGAAATAAAAACATATAAATAATATTTAGCCTATTTCTTCTTTCCACCACCACTCTTACGGGGAGGAGGAGTAGGACCTTTTGCGGCTTCTGATGAAGGGGCTGGAGGTGGTGTTTCTGGTACGCTGGCGCTAACTTGTAGTTCTGCTTTAGAAACGGGACTAGGGGAACTAGGTTCTTGTGATACAGGGGGAGAGACGGGTGTCGTGGGAGGTGTAGGTTCTGTCACTTTGGAACTAGGTAATTCAGCAGTCTCTTTTTGTTTAGATTCTTCTTTGGGTGGATCCTTTTTACCTTTTTTAGATACAGGAGATTGCTTAGGTGTCGATGTTTGTTTAGGTGAAGGTTTTTCAAGCTCTTTTGGAGATTCCTTTGGCGATTTTTCAGAAGATTCTTTAGGCTTTTGGACTTCCTTGGACGTTTCTTTTTGAGCCTCCTTAGGAGACTGTTTTGGCGCTTCTTTTTGAGCTCCCTTGGGTGATTCCTTAGGCGCTTCTTTTTGAGCAGGAGGTACTTTCGGCGCTTCCTTAGGAGATTCTTTCGGCGCTTCCTTGGGGGATTCTTTCGGCGCTTCCTTAGGGGATTCTTTTGGTGCTTCCTTAGGGGATTCTTTCGGTGCTTCCTTAGGGGGTTCTTTTGTTGTTTCCTTGGGGGATTCTTTCGGTGCTTCTTTTTGAGCTTCCTTAGGAGATTCTTTAGGTGCTTCGACAGGTTCTTTTTGTTGTACCTTAGGTACTTCTTTTTGAGCCTCCGCAGGAGCTTGTGTAAGTATTTCTTTTTGGGGTTCCTTTGGAGATTCTGCAGGTGTTACTTTTTGATCCTCCTTTGGAGATTTGGGCGTTTCTTGTTGAACTTCCTGTGTAGAGTCTTTCGAAGCCTCCTTAACAGGCTCTTGTGTGGGTACCTGAGGACTATCGCTTACGACTTCTGGGCTTTTAAGATCCTCTATTGTGGGTTTTTGATCTTCTGGTTTTTCTGGAGATTGAGAAACAACGGTTACAGGTTCTGTGGGCGGTTTTTCACTTACTGACTGAGCAGTTAAGGTATCAGTAGATTCTTTAGACGAATCTGCAGCTTTTGGCAGGTCTGCTTGAGGAGTTTCAGACACTTGTTTAGGACTTTCAGAAACTACAGTTGGTTCTTCTTTAGGTGGCTCAGTAGAAACAGGTTCTATCGTTTTAGCAGCTGGACTAGGTGCACCTGTAGCTGGTTCTTTAACTTCAGAAGGTTGTACAGATTGATTAGTCTCTACAGGTACCTGTTGACTTTCTTGTTCAGATGGTGTCGGTTGTTGAATAGGTGTTTCTGATTTAGGACTCTCTTGCTGACTGGCAACTGCCTCTGGAGGTGCAGTTCCTGCAGAGGGTATTTCGACAACCGGCTTTTGACTTACTGGCTGTTCAGGAATCGATTGTATAGGGGGCACTTTGGGAGCAGCTTCCGTGGGTAGAGGGTCTTTTGATTCAGACGGAACAGGTTGTGGGGTTTGAGGAGAGGGAATTGCTTCTGCGGGTGGTTCGGTCTTCGATTGTGGACTATCAGAAACTTCGACAGTTGCAGACAGTACCACTGGTGCAGCTTCTTGGGGTTGCTCAACTGTTGGAGCTGAAAAATTACTTTATCACATGTTACATCGTTAAACATTTTGTTAGTAGGGATAACTCCGTTTAATAAGCTGGTCTTTTATTAGCTGAAGGTTACCTTTTGCCCAATGGGAACGCAAGTATTGCTGTTTCACTGTAATCAACTTGCATTAATAAGCAAAATCCGAGTATGTGGATAATTTAGTAGCCCAAAAATTTTAAAAATGCTTTTTTTATACCCCATCGCATTAGAAAAAAAAACTAACAATGTAAATTATTATAATTTGACATGTTCAAAATAATATTTATATTCTTCTTGATGAAAAATTCTTCAAAGAAAACATTCATATGCACATAAAAAAGTTTGGACAGTCTAAAGCAAAAGACGAGAAAGTAATCCAATAGGTTTTTTAATTTATTAGGAAATTTAATTTTTATTAAGGTACAATTACCGTTTCAAATGTTAAAAATGGCAAATTTTCAACATTTTTTTTGTATCCCTTTTATTATATATGCCCATTATTTGTATTATATAACTTTTGAAGATTACAAAAAAAAATTTTCTGTTATTTTTCTATTGTTCGTGTATTTTAAAGATAGGGTTTTAAAAAAGATGCGACCTTACGTGATAGTTTACTAGAAAAATTGAAAATTCTTAAAAAAAAAACAAAATGGTGGACATTTAAAAAATTGTTTCAAAATTGACCTTTTTTCAACTTTTCTCAGCTACAAAAAGTTTTATTTTTTTTTTTGTCAAATTGTAGTAAACTATCATAGAGAAAACCAAAACAAATAAAATTCATTAGGGTTTATTAACCATAATCATTTAAAAAAAAAACTACCGTTTTTAAAACTAGCAGACAGTTATCTCCGGATATCTAGTCGGTCAATTTTAATAAACCTTGATGCATTTTGTTTAGTTTGGTTTTCTCTACGACAGTTTAGCACAAATTGACCACAAAAAAAATAATCAAATTTTTATGACAAAAAAGTCAAAAAAAAAATGTAAATTTTTGTACAGATTTTCAAAGGCGCTGATTTTTTTTATTTCCAATTTTTCTTGTTAACTATTACTAGTATTATTATATTACTTAAGTGTACTTCTTTTTTAAATCCCTTCTCGAATTTTATATTTTAGATTTGCCGTTCCAGAGATTAACTGTCCGCCATAAATCAGTAATTTTTGGACTGAAATCTGGCGCTCTCTTTAAAATACAGGAATAACGGACAAAAAAAGAAAATTTTTGTAATCTTCAAAAGTTATTTTTGATTGAATATAAAATACATAATTCTTACACACATTTTGGGCAGTATTGAGTACTTATGAACAGTTTTAAACAGGGAATTGAAGAAATTTTAGTTTCTTGGCAAAGTTATAAACAATAGTATAATCTGAGAAATACTTTGTATAGTTTAAAATAGATGGATGAAACGGAATAACCGAATATTGTGTCATGTGACAGCACTGAATAATGGATGATAAAAAAGAAAGCAAAACAATGAACGCATCTTGCAAAATGTAAATACTTGATGAATGCATCGAGATAGTATGGTTAAGATGTCCATCCAGATGCTGAAGATGAACCCACAATAAAAATATAAAAAGAAATGTATCCTACATCACTACTGATAATGCTCATATTGTTGTCGAAGTAGTTTTCAATGTTAAAACAATTTTAATCCTCATAAATTCGTTTTTCAAATTTTTGGGCATCTAAAAATTCAACTGGAAACTATTAGTAGGGTAGGGGGTGGTTAAGCATGAAAGTTTTAAAAAATTACATTTTTATTGGAAGTCTAAAATAAGTATTTTGGAATAGGCGATAATTATAGCAGCCAGGTACACACAAAGCTATGGATCTATTCCAAAATATAATAAAAATAATAAACAACCAGTATTATCGAATTTTAACAAAAAAATTGTAATAGATCCATTATTTATTATCTGGAGTCTTGAGGCGCAGGGTTTGTTCACCTGTTTCAGCAGCCTTCTCTGGTTCAGCGACAGCTTCCGCTGGTTTTTCCTCACTTGCAGCTGGTTCAGGTTCTAAATATCCCAAAAAAAATAATTAACACTAATACACCAAAATAATTAAGCAAAGCAAAGCCTCGTGCATTCGCAAGCTGAAAATTAATAACTGCTACAGAAGAAAGTATAAAAATTAGTAACACTAAATTAGCTTGCTAAAAATTAGCGATATTTCTAATCTATATTTACAATTCTGACATCTGTACACAACCAGTTTTATTATACTGCTGCAAAAATGTCGAGACCAAAAAAAGGATCTCTTTTTATGTTTTATTGACTATCAAAAGGCCTTCGACAAAGTAAAACATGATAAGCTGATGGATTGCCTTCACAAAAAGGGACTAGACGAGAACGATTTTAAAATTATCCAAACGCTGTATTTTAACCAAACTGCAGCAGTTAGAACAGAAGCCGGTGACACAGAAATATTCAATATCAAGCGAGGTGTACGACAGGGGTGTGTATTGTCACCACTACTTTTCAATATATATTCGGAAGAAATCTTTGCACGAGCACTAGAGCAATCAAGAGGTGTTAAAATTAACGGCAGAGTTAACCCTATACCAGTAAACATAATAAAAATGAATAGAAGCAAAGAAAGAATTAATAAACAAGTATCGATATAGTTTATAAAGGAATTGTTATAATAATATGCACCAAAGAAATGGTTTTGTAAGAAAATTTAGTACAAAGATCGACTAGATTTGGAAAGGAATAAAGAAAAAATTCTAAAACTGAAAAAGATTAAAGTAGACTTGAAAATAAAAAAAGGTCTTTTGACTTTTCCACACCGCGTGAGTTTATGAAATTTTCAGAGTTTTTCATTTATATACTATCTTTAGTGTAAATATAAATTAAAAATACCGAATATCGCATATTCTAAGCATATTGGTACATAAAGGAAAATAGAAAAACAAAACTCAAACAATATATTTAGAGTGTACAAAATATTGAGAAAATAAACAAAGTAAATAAAATAATCAGAAGAGTGCGACAGGTCATGCAGCTTTTATGGCACGGAAGGTACTAGTTGTTAGCTAAGAAGTTACAAATACTACTCCGAACCTGCATCAGGGGCAAGTGCCAATGTTTCGCAAATTTTGCTCCATATGTTGTCAAATGAGTCTCGTCCTAGGTAGTCTATATTTCCTACCTCCCAGCCTTGCCTCCTTAAATGGTCGTCTAGGGCTTGTTGTTCAGGTGTTCTTGGTTGACCCAAGGTCAGATTGGCAAACGCACCTGCTAAGCCGGCCTGAAATAATAACAGATAGCATTTAATCAAAGAGTCAAGTGGTTGAACAAAGTAAAATCTAATTCTACTTAAATTAAATCATTTTTTTTTCAATGTCTAATTAAGGAATTATGCCAATTTGATATATAAACTTCAAATCATTGAAAATTGACGCTTAACTCTATAAAAGAAGTTTTTGCCTGCTATTCTCTGGAGGGATTAGTTCCTCTAAACTTGTATGGTACAAAGCTAAATCTGGTGAGTGAAGTAAAATACCTTGGCTGTAATACTAGACTCGAGGATAAGATATAATGAAGCAATGTAATAAAAATGGGAGTACCTACATGGATATATTTCTCATATGGTCAGACAAGTGTTTTCATAGTTATAAATACAGCCTACTGCAAATTATAGTGAACGACAAGATTAAAGATATGAGATGGTTAGGTAGAACGAAAAAATCTTGGCTGAGAAATCTACGGTAATGGTTCCAAACATAATACATGTGGCACAAAACAGAGAAGCATATGGTCGCCACGCTTCGGTAGAAGTTAGTACAGAAAGAAAAAGTAAGTGACCAAAAGTGTCATCCTCAAATTAAGCAAGATGCAAAGACTTGCTTGGAGATACAGAGACTTAGGGAAACATCAGCTCCCTATTGGACCTTACTTCTTTACACATCGTTATAAGGAGAAAGAAGAATGGGATATTATAGACTAAGAAAAAACCCGAGGAAGGTAATGGTTAGGTCAGCACATAGTAACATCATAAATTAAAGTAGGAATATATGGACAACTTTTGACCATATTATACCCAGAGACAGGTATAAAGTGCTTTTTCCGGCGGACATTTGCCCACGAGAGGTATAGGAAGAGGAAACACATAACCCAGGATGTAGGTTTACACCCGTCGCACCGATAGGCCTAAAACTGTAGAAGTGTCGAATGCAGGAATTTACAATAGTGCTGGAAATATAAATATTTTTATTCGAATAGAATGATAATTATAGCTATTTCAGGCAGAGAGGTATGCCAACTTGCATTCTCTACCTGACAATTATGTATGACTCTCTCTATGCAAGAGAAATTACCATGAGGACTTTTGAATTTAAGGCGGATCAATATATGCAAGCGGCTATGTGTGCCCTCAGGAGCCCTAAGGTAGACCATTATGGGAATTCAGAGAAAAACTCGATAATCGTCATAGTGATATGATTGCCAGGTCAATGAGGAATACATGAAAAAAAAAGAGCTGATGAACTTGCTAGAAACGGATCAGCTACAAAATACTTCAGCCTAGAGTCTACCTAATGAGTACCAAACAGCACCATCCGCGACCGGAAAAAGCCTGAATCGAACACAACTTAACTCTCACTGGGAAAGTAGAGGCGGTCAAGAACATGACAAAATATATATTGGACTTACATGCGCTAATAAAGCTGAAGTACTCCAGAAAACAAGCAGGAATCAGCTAAGTCAAGGGAGCTGTGTCATGGCTATATTCGTGCATATATTTACTACCAAGTGACTCCAAAAACATATGGTACCTATCTACTAGACCTGTACAACCTTTTACAAGGTTCTACAGTTCTGCAAAGCGTTTGTAACAGACAGCTCTCGTCTATTGAGACGATCACTCTTAGGATTATAGGTGACAATATATATTAACTCCTAATCTAAGAGTAAAACTGTAATTAGTAAAACGTATTAGACTTTAATTGATCTTAACATAATATGTGAACAATTACAAAAAGATCCTTTTTTCATAACAAAGCAATAAGGCTTCCACTCGACAATAGGAACTCCGTCAAAGGTTCACAGATGTCAATAAAGTATGTATGTATCTAACTGAAGGTCATACCAACAATGAATAACACATAGTTAGCAAATCCTATCTCAGAATGAGATGCGTGAAAGCGAAAAACTGGGGCTAAGAGTAGAGGAAAAATCTACCCGGTCCACCAAGATTGGAAGATGTGACGGTGGGCCAGCTCCCTCACACGGAAAAAAATTTATTGCAAAAAAATCCTAGAAAGAAAACAACGAAAAGTCCTAACGGATTGAATCTTACGAAAGGTTAATAAGTTTTGGAAAATGGTATGTACAAGGTATTTTAACTAAACTTGATGAGGTGTTGAAAGATATTAAGGTATTTAAATTAGATGTACCATGTAGCGAGAATGCACGATTCACGATGGACGAGCAAAATTACAAATTGGAGGCCAAGAGCAGACAAACGCAGTAGAGGAAGACCACCTACACGTTGGGCCGACGACATCAGGCGTATCACTAAAAATTGGCAACAAAGAGCACAAAATCGTGAGGAATGGAGGAGTTTAAGGGAGGCCTATGTCCAGCAGTGGACGTGATAAATAGAGGCTGGATGATGATGATGATGTACCAGTTTTTACAGATACAAAAAAAAGGAAAAGAGACAGACGAGTTTAAAAATTTTGTTCATTTCTCTAATGAACAAGAGTATGGCTAGTAAAAAATGAGATGAAGCTAAAAGGACGTGACTTAGTGATAGTGGACGCATATGCACCATTGGAGAGATATTTGACTAAGTTACCAATATCAAATAATTTAATTACTTATTATCAATCGGTATGTACCATTATTTAAATTATTATTTTGTATTATTATATTTAAACAAAATTATTAATTAATCACTATATAAAATTAAAGGGTCATGACTCATTTCCACGAATTGTCTCTTGGATGAATTATTTTCCCTACAGAAAAAATTAACACCAGAGGAATCTATATTATAGTTCATGGTGATGTTGAGAAAGGACACAAGAATACCTAGAAGTATTTGTCACTTCTGTGAGCAGCTAGGCTTTAAGGGAGGACCAGTTTGGCTAATATAACAAGAACTAAAATCAGCACAAGGAAGAAAGTAACCTCATCGATTTATTCTTGTGTAGTAAAAGTGGTTTTTGTCTTTGAAAATAATTTCCGGAGAGTTTTTCTATTCTTAATAGCAATTTTAACAGAACATTTAACAGTTTATCGGGAAATACGGCAAGGATGCATAACCAGGAGTGGACTATCTGTTTATTCTTTCTTTATAATTTATAATATAATCATGAAGCTATTTTCTGATAACATATTTATACAATTTACTATATTTACTGAGATTAACAATTTTATTTTAAAATTTTAAAATATTGAAGTGCCATCTTAAAGTCATCTACTTTAAAATGTATAATATATATCCGAATGAAAACTCATAAATTATTAGAAGAATTTTTTTTATTACCAAATAACAAAAACAAAATTGGTTAAATTTGTATTTAACGAACGATTTCCGAAGTGAAATCGAAATGTCAAAATAAACATATTTCAAACTAAAGTTGTGTTTAATTCGCAGCAACAATAGTAAATTATAATTTATACATTGCTTCCCAGAATTCTTATCTCGATACTGTTTCCTTTAGTCCACAAGTACCATACATATCCTTGTTTTTTACTTTTTTGGCTTTCTAGCAATTGTTCTAGTGTGAAATGTGAACTATTTTTTGGAAGTTTGTGAAAATTTGTTCTTTAAACATCTTTTCCATATAGCCTTCCCATTGAGGATATTACTCGATAGTTTTCTGTCTTCTATATAACTTGTGCCCATTCCTTTGAAGTATGGTACAATTGGTCTGAAAAAGGCCTAACCAGAACGTGCAAAGTAAAAGTTTTCCTCCAACACACGAAATTCTTCTATATAGTCCACATATTGTTCAGTAAAAAGCTAGACCATTTTGAGCTTGAGGTTTGGGGTGGGGGAAGTTAGAGGAAGAAGTCGGTAAATTAGTAGTTTTTACGTTTTTCGTCAATATTTCTAAAACTATGTGGTTTAGCGTGAACAATGTTCTATAAAAAAATGTATAGAACAATGTTGTATATTAAATTTGAAACATAAAAGGTCCTATGCATAATACTTTTAAAACGAACCATTCCGTTACGGAAGGTATACATGTAGACATTCACGTTGAGAACTCCTATGAATAGCTGTTCTGACGAGACCTATTAGGTCGAAATACGTATCAACAGATACATATAATTTGTTTGCGTAAAATCAAATATTTTTTTGCCTTTTTTCATTTTAAAAATGTTAAAATTTACAAACCGCAAAAAAATTATATAAGTATTAAAAACATTATTAAAACATCATTCTGTTCTTCTAAAAAATAAATCCGTAACTTTATAAAGTGCCTTCTATCTTGAAATAAATATTCTTAAATTCCAATCACATTTAATTTTCTTATTAATTTCATTTCTATATAAAATTTTGTGAAGATTCTTACGAAAGCATTTTTATATCTCAATCTAGCCATTTGATTTACAAATGCATTCATTTTAAAATTTGTAAATTAGTAAAATATACGATGGAATACATTTTAAAAATGGTCTGGAGTATGGCGTGACATGACCGTAGAGCAGGTGATGATGAGGTCATTGAAAAGCATTGGTGGATTGATCGGAGGCAGAGGAATTAGAGGGAAAACAATTGCAACTTGGATCAACATCATGCCTTCTAGGATGTGCGAAGAATTGAAGAATTCGGTGGTGTGTTTCTCTACATAGCAGCACGTGGAGCTAAGAGATGCAAGGCAGAAAAGAAATAGCAAGGACTTACAGACTTTTATATCTCAGCTAGAAGAACACAATCCGTCTTCTAAAACTCCTGAACTCTCTTTATTATTAACAGGGGTTATAGGAGAGGAAAACGTGAACTGTGATAAAGCATTTGAAATCGGAACCCTGGTTTTAAAAGACATTGAAAACAAAACATTCAATGAGATATACTTGAAAACAAAGCTAGTCTGTTAACCAGGTCGATGACAATTAACACCACCACGGTATGTGTATCCCAAACACTCTCTTGAATCGAATGGTATACACAGTAAGGAGTGATGAGCATTTAAAATTATTTTCTTAGAATTTACTGTTGAAAAGATATTCATGCGACATTGTCCATAGAAAGTTCAGAGTTGGTTTCTCCGTACCACAGATTTATATGGCCTAGGCCCGTGTAAGCCTCTATTCTCTTAAAAAGTAGCGCCCGTTGAGAAGGTGGCGAGGTTGACTTTCTTTCAAGGGCTTATCACTAACATACCACCGGTAAATTTACAAAACATATTCCTGTTAAAAAAATACTTTCCTCAGTAATAATATTATAATTTGCCCAAAAAATATAAAAAATATGGAAAACCTTCACTTTTACACCCTTCGTAACCGTTGATTTTAGAACAATTATGCATAGGACCTACTTGTTTTAAATTTGACGTAGACTATTTTTGTATAGAACCTACTTTACGCTAAACCGCATAGTTTTTGAAATATTTGCGAAAAACGCAAAAAACTACTAATTTACCGACTTCTCCCCACTTCCTCCAAACCCGACGCACGAAATAGTGTAACTTTTTACTGAACTATATGTGGACCATCCATATAGAACAATTTGGTGTTGGAGGATAACTTTTACTTTGGATGGCAGGGTTTGGGTCTAATTATACCATACTATCGGGAGTTGCTCACCGTTTATCTCCGTTGCTCTCTGAAACATAGAAACATTGGATCATCTACATTGGATCATTTGATGCAGTCTATATGACTCGTCGATTATAAGTTCGGCTGTGAATCCTTCGAATCCGGACACTTCCTTGTTCTTGAGCTCTTTTGTGAGTTCCTTTCCTGCTACTTATATTTTTTGTTTCTGGGGATTGTTTATTTGTTTAGTGCATCCTTTTTCGCTATGAATTTTGTTCTTTGTTTCTGTAGACATATTTTTATAGTAGGCTTTCCATTCTTTAGGACTTTTAGATCGAAAATGACATATAATACATTTGTAAGCGTTCTACAGCATCCTCTATTGATATTAACTCAGAAAATAAGAAACCTACTTAGGTGGCCAGATTTTCTGTGTTTGAGTTCTTGGGCATTTTTAAAGTTAAAGAACTCGTCAGGCGGGCACACTTATAACAATGAATCGCGAAGATTTAACTGTTATGCAGAAGTTATGAAGTTAAGAGTGTAAACTCATTTTAAAAAATTGTGCCAGTGTTTTGTGTTGTCTGATTTATTAACTGTGGACTTTATTAACCGTGATGTTACAGTGTCGATAAAACTGTTGAATTAGCAGCAGATACCTTTACTGTTCATAAATGAATTATTTTGAATGAAAATGGCACGCAATGAAAATCCATTAGATTTACGGGAATATGGACCTTAAAATTATGCTCATTTCTTTTTACCACTCTCTCATATATAAAGATTAATTATAAATACTTACTTGATTATCTGAATTTTCCTCGTTAGAGTCTGATTGCAATGTTATTTCGTTGGACACTGTAGTAGTTGCCACACACTCATCTGGTAGTCTAGGATCATTTGGAGGAGGATGATCCGAGGAGTAGTCAGAAGTGGGAGGTTGGTGATGGATATTAGGAGAATGCGGTTGACTAGATGTAGGGATTAAAGGATGATGAATGTGAACATTATGATCAGCTCTTGAAAATGTATTTGTATTGTGAGATTCAATTAGATTTTGTTGATTTTGACTACTAGACTCCCGTCTGTCAGTATGATGTTCATAATTATGACTAGATTCGTGTTTTTGCTCATAATGATGATGAGGGTGGTGCTCTGAAGGAGTGTGATCGACAGAATGATGGTAATGACTTTCAGAAGGTTTGTTTTCAGAATGATAGATTTCTGGCGGTCGATATTCTACATAAGAACTACAAGAAGACTGATCTGGAAAATGAGTTTCTGACGGCTTATTTTCGGTATAAACAGGTTGAACATAATGACTATGTGTGTGTGATTGTTCGTGATGGCTATGATCGATATTTTGAGCAGTTTGATGATGATCAGACAAATGTGAAGGTGTATGTTTAAAATGATCATTTTGATGAATATGGCTATCATGACCATGATCATAATGATGGGTTTGCTTAAAATGATCACTTTGATGGATATGGGTATCATGACCATGATCAGAATGATGGGTTTGTTCAAAATTTGATGAATGTGATTGTCCATAGTGCTGTGAATGTGACTCTTCATGCGTTATATTTTGAGGAACTATATTTCCTGATTGCCTAGAGTCATATTCCTCCCACGGATCCCATACGTTCTGGAAGTCTTCCGCATTTTGAGGATTCTGTACAGAGGGATTATGTTCATGGTCGTAGTAATAGGAAGTGTGAGAATCACTTTGAGAGGTGTAAGACTGACTACCATGCACAGTGTGTCTATGGCTGGTCTGAACAAACATGCATGCAAAAGAAAAGAAAAAGGTTCAGTATGAGCTATGAGTTATTTTAAATTACCTAAGCAAAACAACTTTTGGTTAGGTAATGAGCTGTGAACAAATAAGAAAGCAAAACAAAATGCCAATTAAACTCAAAATACAAATAGCTTAGTTGCACAGTGCAAAAGTGCTTTGATAAAATGCCAACATACAACTAAATTTTGTGATTTATTGAATTATTTGCAGTGATTTTTGCAAAGCTTTAAACAACTTTAAATCCAAAATGCAACAAATTATCTACTTAACTAAAATTATGTGCTAAAATTTTGTGTGCAAACATAGATTTAAATTAACTACTTAAGTTTGAGCAGCAAAACACAGTGTCTAGCGATAAATGATTCTTCTACCATATTTACATGATATGAGAAGATTTATGGAATATGAAATATGTCTTCACTGTTTCTGATTAGTAAGGTAACTTAAAATATGCAATGTAAAGACAGTAATAGTAATATTTGTAAGGTTACGCATTTGAATGATGAGATAAAAATTATTCATTCTCTGGCTGACTTATACCAATACGGAAAACACTGATCCAGACTCTTGCCATTAAAAACTTTGCATTCGTTTCAGATTTAACATAGATGGTATAGAAATGTGAACATTTTAGAAACATAAAATAAAGTCTTCACATCAATGGTGAGGCAAGAAAATATTTTATGCCCAACGTAGTAACACTAAATAAAAATGCATTATATATAGAGGTGACAAACGTGCGAATAACAACCTTGTAGTCAGCGGTAAAATTCTGATTGAGAGCCATAGCATCGACCAAGTATGAGCTGCATTTGGTAGATTGAATAACATTTTCAAGTCTTTATTATTCCAGTTTGTTTAAAAAGAAAGGTTTTTAACCAGTGCGTATTATCGGTTCTTATGGTGCAGAAATACTGACTCTGACAAAAAGAACAATAGATAAAATAAGAGTTACACAACGCGCTATGGAAAGATCAATATTAGGTGATAGATGATGATAGATGGACCAGAAAGATGGATCAGCAAGATTCTGGAATGACGACCAAGGCCAGAGGCATATAGAAGAAGAGGACAACCACCGACTAGATGGACGCATGATATCAAGCGCATCACCACAAACTGGATGCAAGAAGCTTAAGATAGAAATAGGTGGAAAATTTTACGGGAGGCCTACGTTCAGCAGTGGACAAATATAGGCTAATTGATGACGAGTAACCCTATTGTTATTTGTCTTTAAACACCTAATCCTTCAAGTCGGCTACGACTCTCATTTTTGGCTTGACAGTCATTTGTAATGGAGTTCGAACTCATGACTCTGAGTAGGCATGAGATGGGTCCAGATGTATTAAAAACTACGCCTATCCAAATTTATTGTTAGTTATATGAATTATACCCTTCTCTACAGAGAAGTAGACTAGTTTTACCAGAAACTCAATGTAAAAATATGAGTGGATTCCAAATCAGACAAGCCAGTCCTTCTCCGGCGATCATAGAGCCTTCTATGACTCTAAACGTCAATCCTCCTCCAACTCTTCTGGGGTTAGTAGCTGTTGCTTCTGAAACTTTGCGTTTTTTATTTTATCTCTAACAAGCTCCATGTACTCTGATTCGAGCCATTACAGTGCTAGATCTACCAAATACCATCGATATCATCAGCAGGCCAGACCCTTTTAACATGGCAGCTACCTTCAAAGAGCCAGAATTGTTCAAAGTCAGAACTCCTAGAGGCAGGAACGTTCACGAGTAGTAGGCCAGTTTCACCCGAAACTCAATTTATAAAGATGAGTGCATTCCAAATCAGGCATGTCAGCCCTTTTCCGGGGCTCACTGACTCTCCTACGTCTCTAGGAATCGATCTTGATCGGAGGCTCTGGAATTATTTGCAGCTCCTACTGCAAGCCTGTGTTTTTATTTCATACCAAGAAGAAAAGATCGACATAATCAGAGCATTATCAGAGCGTCTGTGAGGTAAAAAGTATGCTGCACCAATTATAGCCTTATTATTAGCCATCTTCTGGCATACGGCGATATGACGAGAATGACGACAGAACCAGAAGAAAGCTTTTCGCTTTGTCTGTCAGTGAAATTGTCTATGACGTCAAACGACCCATTTACACACAATCTATCCACAATTTATGTGAAGTGAATGGACATCAAAAGTGTGCGAAAATCGTAATTCAAAAACAAAGTACGATTTTGGTACAAAGGTATCTTTTGAACTAAGAAAAAATGGGTAAAGACGTCTACGATGAATAAAACGAAACTTGCGAATGAACCGAATAAAACGAAGCACTTTCACAGGTAAATATTTAGAAATACACAGACTCCTGAGGTAAATATTTAGAGATGAGATACCAAATGGCTAAACAGAAAAGAATAAGGGCCTTTAGATATAGTGACTAATATAATTTGGCGGAAGAGTTCTGTAGAAGTGTGTTCGAAAACTGTCACATCCCTTACCAAAGTAAATTGATTACATTAATAATTATATTCAAAAATAGTACAAAGTCCATGAAGTATTGTTCGGTGCAATAAATTAGATTTCTATATGAAATAATATTGTAACAATATTTTCTGAACACGTCTATAATATTACTAAAATGTTTGATAAATAATTGGATCAATAATAAATAACTGGCAACTCTGTAACATATACTCGACAATCCGGGTATGTTTTCCATATCCGTATATATTTGTATTACCTCTTTGGTTCAGATTAACAATTTTTTTTCAAATGGTAGAAATTTCATTGTTTTCACTAGAAGTATTAACAGCCAATGTGAATTTCGGCTGCTGGTGAGTGCTAGTAATGTGTTAGAACATTGTAATTTTGAAAATAAACAGAAATTGTTATTGTGTTGTATGAACTTAGAGCGAATGAAACGTTCCTATGTACAGTAAGTTACTAAGAAAACTCACCTTAGGCTCATCAAAGGAATATATAGAAGGCTTGTAATAGTTTGAAAAGTCTCTGTTAAAAATTTTAAATAGTATTTTTGTATAAAAATAAAATAAAGTTAAGGTCTATCGTAAAGATAAAATGTATAATTACCATATCAGGAGTAAGGGCTGGATGAATTAGGTTGCAAAATATGTCCCACCAGCGTTGGAGGATGATTTCTAAGTGCTGCAAACCTTCGGAAGGATGTACCTTCCTTGTTTCTGTGTTGAAATATTGTAGCCATGGTTTTGAGGCGCCAATAAAGTGAATAATTTTTGCATTTTTGCCAAATCTATAAAAAAATAAGCTTTCATTAATAATACACATACATTGGTAGACATGCAAAAGATAAATACAGAGTTGAAACACCAAAAAATTATAATTCCAGGAAATGGTGATGATCATTCTTGGTCTTCCAGTGGCGTACAATTTATTTTGTAAAAGTGAGAGGTAGTGCTACTTATCTGTGGCGAACTCAGGGGGGTTTTTGGGGGTTAACCCCCCCTGGCATATAAAACGAAAAATATATAAAGCTAATTTAATAATTAAATTATCACTTTAAATATGTAGAATACAATAATTATTGTATAAATAGACAATAATTAAGGATATTTTTCATTATATTTAGATATAGATACCTAACATTCTTCTTCTTCTTCTACGGCACTACAGCCCAAAATGAGCCTTGGCCTCCTTTATTTTTTGCCTCCACCCTTGTCTGTCTGTGGCTGCTCTTCTTCATACACGGACTCCTAAAAGTACTTGTGCGTCGCTGCTTACTGTGTTACTCTTCCCAGCGCTTTCTTGGCTTTCCAACTGGTCTCTTTCCCTGCATTCTGGCGTTCAGTGCTCGTTTTGGTAGGCCTATCCTCTCCCATTCGTATCACATGTCCGGCCCATTGCAATCTTTGTATTCTAATGAAGTCTGACAGGGGTGTTTCCTTATACAGTTGATAGAGCTCGTTGTTATATCGAATTCTGAAGATTCCGTTTTCCCTCACAGGTCCTAGTATTCTCCTCAGTACTTTTCTTTCGAATGTGTCGAGTTTGTTTTTGGATGTTTCTTTCAGGACCCATGCTTCGCTGCCATAACATGCTATTGGCCGAATTAAAGTTTTATAGATTCTCATCTTTGTATTTCGGTGGACACTTTTAGACCGAAATATATGGGAGAGGGCAAAATAAGCTTTGTTTGCCTGCGTTATCCTTTTTCGTATTTCTCCATCCTCTGCTCCATCGGCATATATTTCTACTCCCAGGTATGTAAACTTTCCAACCGTTTCAATGTCATCTTCATGTATAATGTTTTGTGGGATTATATTTCTTCTCGTCTGTACCATTATTTTTGTTTTTTCTGTGTTAATTTCCAGACCTAGCCTTTTCGTTTGTGTTTTTAACTCTGCGTATGCTTCCTGTGCTCCTGTTGATGTTCTACTCATAATATTAATATCATCGGCGTAGGCAGCCAGTTGAACCGTTTTATTGGTCAGTAGGTTTTCTCGTCCAGTTTGCATTTGCCTAACCGCATACTCCAGTGCCAGGTTAAACAATGTTGGTGCCAGCCCATCTCCCTGCTTTAGTCCCTGCGAGATTTTGAAAAAGTCTGTCCGGTTGTTTTGTATTCGTACACATGCCTGAGTTTCATCCATTGTGGCTTTAATGAGTCTAATTAGCTTATGTGGTATTGCTAACTCTGCCAATATGTAGTATAGTCTGTCCCTTTTGACTGAATCAGATACCTAACATTAGGCTCATGAAAAAAGTAGACAGAACGAGTAGCATAAGCCTACAGTTAATCTACAGATCTACATATACCTAAGGAAAGTTAAACTTGTTGACCAGCTATTACAACCAATCCCACTATTAAAGTAAACGCTCTAGACCCACTTACTAGGAGGTTAGTTACTCTAGCAAAACTTATCATAATTTGGAAATGTCTGTCCCTCAATTCCCACGACCTCGTAGAAAATGCTTTGAACAGCTTTAGTTTAAAACTCGCTTGTCCTGTCTCTTTCTCAATAGCTGGAATTCAAGGAGATAAATATAACCATATCCTCTCATTTCGAAGACGATATACATAATTCCACCTACTGAAAATTATAAGCTTCACATCTCACTAGCCATTGAATTCGTCACCATACCGTATATTCTTACCTAATGATAGAAGGGAATACTTTATTTGTAAGCAAACTGGCCATACATCTGCAAGTTTTACAAAACACCAATGTTTTTCAATCTGCTGGTGAACAATCATCGGCAACAAAAACCTAATTAACCTCATTCTCATCTTAGAACAAAAATCTCGTGAATCTATACAAGGACAAATAGAGCACTTCTCTAGATCATTCAGCACACCAAACTCCTACTTTCTTCACCAACTTGCATCTAATCATCAAATTGAAAACTCGTCATTGATGCCTCCTCCTAAAGACTTAATAGAAAAAAGCACAAAACACGTGAAGAAGAAGTCAAAGATAATGGATTACACAGATAAATTCAAAATATCAGGTTCATCAAAGCAAATAATCAAGGATCTTTTCACCAACACCACAAAGCTTTTCTACTCCATCAGATAATCTCATAGCCTTCCTTGAGAACGCACCGTTAAGTAGTAACCTCACAATAGAATCCCAGCAAATTAATTTTGATATTAATTCACTTTTATCTGACATGTGTGCAATTTATACACATCTAACTACCAGATCACTAAAAAATAAGTTCACAAGAATATCAAAGAAGCTCAAACAGGAATTACCTTCAGAAGTACACGATACAGATAACCTAGTATAACAAACATCTCTTGATACTTCTAATGATGATGACACAACCGAACATTTACGACATTCTGAAAAATCCAATAGCTGAATACTTTCATACTTATTCAATGGAATTGCCACGAGTTCTTTTGCCGCTTAGAAAGAATCCAACAACTTATCAGCGACACTAATCCAAATATAATATGCCTACAAAAAAGTAACCATTTTCCCATACTCATATCAAATAATGAAGAAAAGTCACCAGGAACAGCAATAAAGTGGAAAATTTCTAATGCTGACTGGGCAAGTTTCAGAACTGAAGTAGACCGCCAAATGGAACAAATTTTCTTCTCTGGAAATATAGATAATGATGTAGATAATTTTAACAAATGCATTATCTCCACTGCTGACATTTACGTAGGAAAAAGTATAATAACTTCTACAAGATAATTAACACCTCGGTGGAATGGACGTTGTACACCTGCTGTAAAAGAATACAAAACTGCTCTTTAAGTGCCGAAAACCTCATTAGTTTTAAAAAACTTACAGCCAACGCAAGGTTTATCTTAAAACAACGTAAGAAACACTCCTAGAGGAACTATGTTTCCACTTAAAATTATAATACTGCCCCTTCTCAAGTCTGGAAGAAAATTAATCAAATGCGAGGAAAATCATCCACACGAGAATTCCAGCTCTTTTACATAAAAGTAATTAGTAACCGATGATCAAGAAATCGTTAATGTAATAGCCGAAAATTTCTATCAACGGTTTAAAAACAAAAACGTACTTAAAGAAACATATCCTTCTATACAATATCCTTCCTAATCTCTCCAATTTGACTCTTCTGTCTTAAACACTCCGTTTACACTACAGGAACTCGAACTTAAATATTCTTCCAACTTGCAAAAATTCAGCTGCAGGTCCCGACAATATCCCCTTCATATTCCTTAAAAATCTTTCCATATGCCGTTAAAAAACTTCTTATACTGTACTTTCCAATATTATGGAGATAATCTATCGTTATACCAATCAAAAAACAGGACAAATCCCTGAATAATCCAAATTCTTACCGTCATATTTCACTAGCCAGTTCCATTTTATTGTTAGTATATCAATATCAAGTTAGTTATCAATGATATTTGCAAGAATATTCACAACATAGTGAAGTACAGCTTATATGCTGACAACCTAATGTTATATTACCGCGGTAAAGATACGTTCACAACTACAAACTTCCCAAAAGCAGTAAATGAACTAACTTCTTGGTATGTAAGTTTTGGTATAAATTTCTCTGCTGAAAAATCAAAAGTACTCAAATTCAGTCGAACAACATGTTTGTTTGTTTGTTTGTTTATTTAACGGGATGAACCCTTTTTCCTTACAAAAATTACAATATACACATATAATTAACATATAAACTGTAGTCATATATTACAATTTTAAAAAGTATTAATAACATTAATGTCTCAATTTCTTTAAACTGTTCTTGAACGAGGACACGGATAAATTAAACAATTCAACACTATCTTGCAAATTATTGGCAGTTCTCAACATCCTTGTGATTGACTCACTTTTACCATAATTAGTGTGATGAAACTTTAGTCTAAACAGGTCAGGAGAGCGTGTTCTTCTAGAATTTACATTAAAAACAATTAATTCCAGCAGTTCCGGACAATCAACATAACCATTAAGAATTTTATGCAAAAAACGCAATTCACACTCAGATTCTCTATTTTCTAAAGTTTTCATATTAAGTTGACAAAGAATATAGTTATAATCACAGTTAGTTCTATTAAAACCCATTTTATACCTGCAAATTCTTAGGAATTTATTTTGAACTCGTTCCAACTGATCAATATACATATTATAATATGGATACCAAATAATATTACAATATTCCAAAATGGACCGAACTAGAGAACAATACAAAATTTTGAAAGTAAATATTGAAAATTCTCGGGAGTTCCTTTGAACAAAGCCGAGCATTCTATAAGCCCGCGATGTAATATTATTAATATGCCTATCAAACATTAGTCTGTGGTCAAATGTAATTCCAAGGCCTCTAATTTGATTTACTTCTGTAATCGATACTCCCTTAAGTATGTATGTTCTATATAACTGATGTTTAGTATTTCTGGAAAACGTAATTTTATAGCACTTTTTTATATTTAAATATAAGGCATTAATGTCACACCAACGAGATAAATTATTTAAGTCAGACTGTAGCATATTATTACCTCAAATTACATTAAATGGTACTCCGCTCACGGTAGCTAATGAACACAAGATACTAGGTTTAATTTGGTTTAAACCACAGATTACATATGTCAAAGCTAGTTGCTTAACTAGATTAACTCTAGTAAAATCTCTAGCATTGGGGAACTGATGAAGACATCCTAATTAGGGTATTAGACTTCTCATTGGTGGTCGACTGGATTATTAAAGCTTTGTATACATGTCAGAATCAAATATTTATTTAAGCACTTTCGATATTATTCAAAATACCGCATTACGACTATGTCTCGTAGCTTTCAGATCCAGTCCTGCCAAAAGTCTTCGCTGTGAAACAGGTGAACTTTCCCTTACGCTTCGCTGGCAAAAAACTTCTTCTGACATAAATTTCTAGAGTGTCTTCGAATCCCTACAACCCTATATATAAGCTCATTTACAAACCCTATAATTGTGAAACATATACTCATATACTGTCATCAACTCCTCCTTGGATTAATAGCATTCTAAAAATTAACCTTTCGATTCATAATTATCACAAAAATGAAACCAACAGCAAAATTCTGAGACAATCTTTCCTAGTCCTGGTCAACACAAACTCATATGATGAGATTCTCTTCACAAATGCATCTAAAACTGAGACAGGAGTTGGATATTCTGTAACAACTGCAAATAGTATCATTTAGAAGTTTTGCTTTCCACCATCTACTTACATCCATACAGGAGAGCTGTACGCCATCCTCCAAGGATTAAAATGCTTATGTAATTAAACTAAAGCCAAGAACGCTGCAATATGTACAGATACGACTCGATTAAAAATGTATATTCCGAACATCCATTAGTTCATGCCATACATGAAGCAATAAACTGTCCCACTTCTTCTGGAACAAACATTAATCTGGATTCCTTCACACGTTGGCATTTTAGGTAATGAGACTGTTGATATTGATGCAAAGGACGCAATTACAACCCAATCAGTTGCAATCAGTTCAACTAGCATCAGATCTAAAACCACTTTTCAGGTTCCAAATCAAAAAGAGCTGGCAAAACCAATGGAAAAATTCAACCTCGAAACTACACAAAATACAACCTACCATTGAAACCTTTCAGCTACCTAAGTAGAAGAGATAAATTAATCATTCGCAGGCTAAGAATTGGTCACACACGGCTGACACAACCATACAAAGTCTTACGAATATGATTCTCAGCCAGGTAGAACTGCTGCAGAATGTACTAAATTTCCTTGGAGACGAATAAAGGCCCGCTAGTCATTTAGTATTTGCAAGTGACATGGAAGATCTACAGTACATAATACAACATGTATACAATGCATGTGAAAGTTACGGACTGCAAATGAATCTCAAGAAAACGAAATAAATAATATTCTCACAAAAACTACAAAATGTAAATAACCTGATCATCAATAATACAACGATAGAAAGAGTAAAAACATATAAATATTTAGGAACGTGGCTAACCGAAGATGGAGATCAAGTAAAGGAGATCAGATCTAGAATAGAAATGGCAAGAAATACGTTCATAAAATTGAAGAAATTACTTTGCAACCGTAACCTTAATCTAGAGATTCGCACAAGAATGCTACGTTGTTACGTCTTCTCTACTTTACTATATGGCATGGAAGCGTGGACAATAAAGCAGTCTGAAATCAAAAAATTAAACTCCTTTGAGATGTGGTGCTACAGGAGAATGCATAAAATATCGTGGATTGAAAAAGTAACTAATATAGAGGTGTTACAAAGAATGAAGAAAGAATGTGAAGTCATAAAAACTGTTAAAATTAGAAAGATTCAATATCTGGGACATTTAATGAGGGGTGAGAAGTACGTATTACTGAGGTTGATTATGCAAGGGAAGATACAAGGGAAGAGAAACCCAGGACGACGCAAAATGTCCTGGCTAAGAAATTTGAGAGAGTGGTTCGGCTGCAGCTCATTAGAATTATTCAGAAATGCGGCCAACAAAGTTAAAATAGCGATGATGATTTCCAACCTCCGCTAGGAGAAGGAACCCGAAGAAGAAGAACTCATTTATATCCTCTTTTTTGTAGAGTATTTAGTGTATTAGTTTCAGGACATGTGTGGCTTATTAAACAAAACGTAGTTAATAACCACCTGGAGTTAGGAGTCTGGGCACAAGCTTTGCACACACTTTCCTCATGTTTAGTTCCTTATGCAAAATTTGTCTCACAATTTACACATGTTCAGACATATACTCGACGGTTTCTGCAACTACACTGCGCTCCAAAATTAACGCATAATTTTAAAATTCTTATTTTGAGTTGTAATGAAAAAAATTTTGTTTGTTCTTTTCTGCTTTATGGTTGTTTTAGAACATCTTAAATAAAACTATTCTTTTTTTACAAAAAATGTATTGAAATTAACAATATAACATCCTAACATAAATCATAACATCTAAACGAACTGATCTAAACAAACTAACATCATAAATTAATGAAGAAAAAGTTTTTAAAGTTGAAGAAAATACTACTACCGTGTACTAGTATCGAGTATTGCCTCCTCTGGCATTTATTACTGCTTGACAACGATCTCTCATACTGAGAATAATCGTTCTGATTTCTTCTTGATCAATTTGATCCCAAATTTCAACCAACCGCAAAAACAGTTCATCTAATGTGTTTGGTGCATTAGGTAGTTGTCGTAGTCGTCTGCCTATGATGTCCCAAACATGTTCTATTGGGTTAAGGTCAGGACTTCTCGCAGGCCAATCCATGGCAGGAATTCCAACCTCCTGACGATACTGCTGCACAATTCTTGCCGTGTGTGGCCTGGCATTATCTTGCATAAGCATGAAATTATCCCCAATAAATGGTACAAATGGCACGACATGCTCTTCTAAAATGTCTGTTATATACCTCTGCGATGTAAGCCGACCGTGATTTATTTTAACTAATTCCGTACGAGCCTCTAAATTAATCCCACCCCATACCATTACCGAGCCGCCGCCATACTGTACAGTCCCTACGGTGTTACACTGTGCGTAGCGTTCCCCAGGCCTTCTATGCACTCGGTTTCTCCTGTCATCAGAAAAAAGACAGTACCTGGATTCATCGGTGAACAATATTCTTCCCCAATCGTCATTATTCCAATCAACATGTTCACGAGAAAAAATTCAATCTTTGCCTTCTATGGTCTCTGGTCAATAATGGGCCAATTGGTGCCCTTCCAGGGTGTAGGTCGTTTTCGGCAAGTCTTCTTCTAATTGTATTTTGGCTGATTCTAAAGTTATAACGATCCAAAAATTCATTTTGTAGAGAAGTACTGGAAAAAAAACCTTTGTCTCAGTGTACGAAGTGTCAAAAACCGGTCTTGATTAGGAGTTGTAACCCTTTTACGGCCTTGACCGGGTCTTCTCGAGTTACTTCCAGTAACAGAAAAACGTGTTAACACTCTTGAAATTGTTGACTGGGTGACGTTAAAACGTTCAGCGAGTTCTACTTGAGTGTATCCTTCTTCGCGAAGAGTAACGATTCTAAAACAGTCACTTTCTGACAAATTTCGATTTTCTTGCTGCGGGTGGTTCATTTCAAAGAAAAAACACTTAATAAACTTGAAAAACCCCTTTAAACGTTCAGCACAACGAAATCCAACCCAACTAAATTCGAAATAAAATGAAGCACAATTAGCATGTTTTTAATTTTTTGAAAAAAAAAATGATAAAAACATCAGCGTTTTTTACCGTTCTTTCGATAAATTTTACTATATAGCGGGGGTAACGATAATATATTAGCACAAAAATCGAAACATTAAAATTATTTAATTTACCAGGGTTTTTAAAATTATGCGTTAATTTTGGGGTGCAGTGTATTTCAGTATATGTTTGAACGTTGAAGTCAGTTTTTGAAGTCACAGGCCACCAAAAGCGATCGTCAAGATTTTACACACGGAATATTGACGAAAAAATGAAAAAATTAGTACAAAGAAGCTAATATTTAAATCGTACTCAATATTCTTGAGAAAGCGTATGATAAAGGTTATCATGTGGTAGATACCGAAAAATTAAGTTTCCATCGAGAACCAGTCAAATCCACGTTATGGCACTATAAACTAGTTTCAGAATTTGCGATTGATATTAAAATAGTTTAGTCTGATCTCTAACAATATGGAAAATGACCAAAATACGCCTACGCACTATCACTTCCTTGCCAACGAAACATGTAAAACAATTATACATCGTTTATTGAGTTTGAGTCAAGATAAAAATAGTAGTTTTTGAAAATATTTACAAACTTGTGCGAAAAGTCAACTCTAGAAATGCGTGTTAAGTAAAAAATTTGTCATCGCCGCACAATTCACTAATCGAGTTACTCCACTTTCTAAAATATCTTAAATTTATTTGTTACAGAACTTGATCTAGTCACAACTCATGAAACTAAATAAAAAAATGGATAATTTTCCAGATTAGAGATCAATGGTTTGGAATAATCTTTAAATAATTAAAAAACAATAAGGTGGAATAATGAAAGCAGAACAAAATTTTGCATACTTACTGTTTAAATGCTGGCAAATATGAGTAACATGCTGTGGAAGCTAGGTTATAAATAAAAGGCAAATGCTTTGAGATGTCCTTGTGTGCCCAATCCGAAAAATATAAATTAAGAAGTCCTTGATCTCCACCTAAAAAATAATGAAAACCATAATAATAAATCTTGGATTTTTAAGTTCTAAGTCAACTGTCCTTTAATCTGAGGTTAATGCTTATTTAAATCAACTATTGATTTATGTGGTTTTGCTCTCATAGTTTAATTGATTTATTAGATATTTAAATTGAGTAGAAAAAATTAAAAGACATTGGCTTGGACGGTAGAGATGTTCGAATAATTGCAAATTTATATTGGAATCAAACAACATCAGTTTTAGTAGATGGTGTGGAATCACAAGCTCTCAATATTAAAAGAGGAGTACGGCAGGGATGCCTCTTGTCACCCCTGCTTTTTAACGTTTACTCCGAAAGAATTTTCAGAAAAGCACTTTCTGAAAAACAAGAAGGAATACTTGTGAACGGCGAAGTCATCAATAATTTGCGATATGCGGACGATACAGTACTCCTAGCTTCTAGTCAAGAAGATCTGCAAACACTACTTGATAGTGTCGTTGAGAGTTTTAGGGAGGCAGGTCTGGATCTTAACATAAGGAAAACCAAAATACTCGTAATAAGTAAACAACAGAATATAAAACCGTCTATATATGTAAATAATACCCAACTTGAGCAAGTTGATAAAATCGTCTACCTTGGACAGCAATTAAATTGTAATGCAGAAAATCACGGCGAAATTAGATCCAGAATAGAGCAGGCTAGAGCTGCTTTTAGAAGGATGTCCAAGGTGTTATGTAACAGAGACCTAAAATTGGCATTAAGGATCCGCCTACTTCGCTGCTACGTGTTCTCGGTCTCACTTTATGCTGTCGAGTCCTGGACTGTGAATAAAATCGATCTAAATCGCCTTGAGGCTTTCGAAATGTGGTGCTATAGAAGAATTTTAAAAGTTTCCTGGGTGGAGAAGATTCGTAACTCCACATTACTAGAACGTCTCAGCAAGACTACTGAGATCATAAAAAGCATCAAGCAGAGAAAGCTGGAATATTTCGGACATGTAATGAGAGGTCCCAAATATAGATTGCTACAAAATATCATGCAAGGAAAAATAGCAGGCAAACGCAGTCCAGGACGAAGAAGAACCTCATGGTTGAAGAACTTGCGAGATTGGTATGGTATAGATACAAGCATGCTATTTAGGGTGGCAGTGAATAAAATTAAAATAGCTATGATGGTAACCAACGTTCTGAAAGGACATGGTACATGAAGAAGAAGAAGAAGAAAAAATTAGATGAGTGTAAAAGGTGGACTGAATAAATAAAATACGTCTGCACAGACAGATAAATGTAGTGATATAATATTTTAGTGGTATAATAGAACAATTTGAGGAAAAATGAAAGGCATAAAACTGAAACAGTCTCCAGGCCCAGGGAAATATAACCAAAGTTGAATGAACAACATCATCATCATTCTCTTTGGCTGTATCCACAACATGCGGGGTTGGCTTTCCTAATTACTTTTCTTCATCAGTTTTTATCTTGGGTCATACCAATCTCAATCCCCTTTACCGACATGTCCTGCCTAAGCAGCTTCTTTAGGTCTTCTTTTCTTTTCCTCTCCTACTCCTTTTCTTCTTCTTCTCGTGCCACTCCTAGCGGAGATTGGAAATCATCATGGCCACTGCGACTTTGTTAGCAGCGCGCCTGAAAAGTTCAATCGAACTACACCTGAACCATTCACGTAGATTACGAAGCCACGATATTTTTCTTCTTCCCACACTTCTTTTGCCCTTAATTTTGCCCTGCATGATGTTTCTTAAAAGTTCGTACTTTTCACCTCTCACAATGTGCCCCAAGTATTCCATCATAGCACTACATCTCGAAAGCTTCGATGTTTTTTATGGTCAACTGTTTTAGTGTCCAAGCCTCAACTCCATATAACAAGGATAGAAAAGACATAACACCGCAGCTTTCGTATTCGTAACTTTATATTGATATCACGATTGCAAAAGAGTTTACGCATTCTATTAAAGACTGATCTAGCGATTTCTATTCTACATCTAATCTCTTTTGTTTGATCAGTATCGTCTGTGATCCAAGCACCTAGATATTTATAACAGGGCACACGTTCAATCGTTGTATTGTCTATTACAAGATTAGCTCTGATGTTCTTTGATTTCGTGATTACCATAAATTTAGTTTTTTTTCAAATTAATTTTCAAGCCATAACTGTTACAGTATATATTGAGACTTTGAACGAGATGTTGTAGTAAACTAGCGTTCCGTTAGGAGAACTGTATCGTCAGCATACCTTATATTGTTGATCGTCTCACCATTTATTATCAGACCAAGATCTTCTTCCTCAAGTGCTTGTTCACAGATAGCTTCACTATACAGATTAAATAAAAGTGGCGATAAGATACATCCCTGCCGGACTCCTCGACGGATTTGAATTTCTTCTGTTAGTCTGCCCTCAACCTTGACATTTGCTGTTTGATTCCAATATAGATTGCATATAATTCCAATATCTCGGCTGTCTATATTTTTCTACTCCTACTCCTTTTAGGAACTTGTAAATCAGCAATTCTTCGTATTGGGTAATTAAAGTCTCAACGTTGGACATGCCCAAACGTTCTCTCATTTTAGTATCTATTTGTGCCACACCTACATATATTCATTATTAATTTTATTTTTTTTTGTCACTACAGTCATCCATCTAATTCGTTGTTCCTGTTTCTTTTTAACTGCCCAACGTTCATTTCCGTAGATCATAGCTAGTCTTATGGCAATTTTAAAGAATTTTACCTTTGGCAATATACCACTCACTTCCTTCCACTTCATCCATCCCACTGATCTATCCATCCATCTCCATCTATATTCCCATTCATTCGGTGTTTAACCGTTACAAGATAACGAATTTTAGTTTAAGCTCCCACAAATTAGCATTAAAAAAGGCATTCATAAGAAAACTACATTTTGTAGTTTGTCAGTGAAATAAATCAAAATAAATTTGAGTGTTGATAATTAACAACGGTAATTTGGTAATAATTAGTAAACGTGTGTTATAAAATTTCGTAAATGGGACCCAAAACACATAAATGGACTCCGCTGCTTCTACGGCGATAAATCATCATGCTATGTCATTTAATCAAGGAGGTCTGCATGGGAGCCAGCAAACGAAAACGGATCTTTCACCTACTGGAATAACTCAATATTGTACAATAAGTGTACAATGATCAACAATTACAAGGTAATGTTTATTTTTCACATCCTCCAACCACACAAAACCCAACTGAAGCTTGAAAAGTCGTTGAAAATCCAATTAAAAGTTATCGAACCATCCCAGACAAAAGAGTCATAAAACAGTAAAAAAAAACAACTGTTACTGACCGAACTCGCCGACATCTACTTCTAATAAATTTGAGATTCAAAGCAGAGTCACCGAGGAACCAGAGAAACCAGAGAAAGAACTTAAACCTCCACCAATACTTATTCAAGGAGTAAAAAATATATCTCCATTAATGGAGCTACTACATCTAAAAGCCAAAAATAATTATGAAATAAAAGTTTTAAATTTTGACCAAGTAAAATTACAACCTAAAATGACTGATAGCTATACAATAATCACAAAAGCGTTAATAGGAAAAAAACGGAGTTTCATACCTATCAGATGAAGAATGACCTCAATTTCAGGGTCGTACTTTAAAATTTGCATTACTCGATTGGCACAAATTATTTAAAAAACGAATTGGAACAACTTGGTCATATTGTTACCAGAATTTGGAATATTAGACATTCCAACACCAAAGTCCAGCTTCCAATGTTCTTTATTGACCTAAAACCTGCTGAAAACAACAAAGAAATATACGAAATAGATTACTTGATGAACCATGTCAAATCCGAACCACCTCGCCAAAAAGCAGATACCCCAGGGCTCAAGATGCCAGAGAAATGAATCCAGATATGCTCTCCTTCATGTCATCCTGCAAGGAAAAATATTTGGAAAACGAGGTCCAGGAAGAAGAAGAACATCTTGGTTAAAGAACCTCAGAATCTGGTTCAATACAACATTTGTGCAGCTTTTACACGCTGCTGCAGATAAGATAAAGATAGCCATGATGATCGCCAACATTCGTAACGGATAGGGACATCAAGAAGAATAAGAAAGCTAAGAAAACCTTGCAAGCCATTTGGAATTTCAACGGGTTAGCTAGCACAAAGAAAAACCACAAACGAAAAGAAGGAACTAAAAGGCATGTTAGAAACACAAATGGGCACTACGCTAAACCTACGCACAACTGTTATCACCCAAATCTCAACATGAATAAGTTTATAAAAACAGCCATTTAGAATTTCAAAGGACTAGATTGCAGTTCCTCCATATAAAATCCAAATAAATACTACTACTACTATCTGTTTACAGCGTTCTCCGACGCCTTCCGACTCCTAACCGCCATTCTTCTCTATTTAACCATAGGCCTGGAGGGATTTCTCTTTCCTCTAGTTCTTTTTCAATTCCCTCTCTCTAGCTTCTTCTCGGCCTTCCTCTTTTCCTTCTCCCTTGTGGTGTCCACGTCAAAATCTGTTTCGGAATCCTGTCATCTGGCATTCTCTGTACATGGCCGTACCATATTAACTGTTTTGTTTTTAGGTCATCAACTAGTTGTATGTTTGACTCCCATCATTTCTCGTATCCCCTCATTTGGTATCCGATCTCTTCTTGATTTGCCTGCTGCTCTTCTCCAGAGGTCCATTTCTGTTGCTAGTAACAGTTTCTCTGTTCTTTGTTTCATTGGCCAAACTTCACTGCCATATGTGATTACACTTTTAAGTATGGTGTTGTATATGAGTTGTTTGTTTGCTTTAGATATTGTTTGGTCCCACAGAATGCCGTTCATCATGGATATGGCTTTTCTACCCTGTATGTTTCTGTCTTTTATAGCAGCATCGAGTGTTCCATCTTGAGTTATCTTCATACCCAGGTATTTGTATTCATCACAGGGTCTAATGTCTACCCCATCGTCTAATATAATGGACTGCTTTGTCCCTCCAATACACGTGGCTTCAGTTTTCTTAATGTTGACTTCGAGACCCCATTTGTTATATTCTTCTATTAGCTTCCGAGTCATGTAACTCAAGTCGTCATGATCCTGAGCAATCAGTATTTGGTCATCAGCGAAACATAAGGTGTACAGTGTAGTCTCGTCATTGAGGGGGATTCCATGCCATTACATTTTCTTTTCCACAGCTTGAGTGCTTGTTCAGATAAATTTTGAAAAGGGTAGGCGAAATACAGCAACCCTGCTTTAGTCCTTTCGTGACCTTAAATCCCTCAGATATCCTTGATCCAGTTATAATTTTTGCAGTCGTTCCATTATACAGACTTTGAACTGCTTTGATAAGACCATGCTTAATGTTGGTTTGCTGTAGGGTTGACCATAGTTTACTGAGGGGTACACTGTCATATGCTTTTTGTAAGTCTACGTACACCAGGTGAACTTCTTTATTGACGGCTGTTTTTTTCTCAATAACTTGCGTAATAGAGTACAAGTGGTCTACTGTGGATCGCCCAGCTCTAAAACCAGCTTGCTCCTCTGCTTCGTAATTTCTATAGTCATTTACTATTTTGTTCTTAATAAGTTTCCCATACATCCTACTTATTGTGCTGTTCACCGCAATTCCTCTGTAATTTTCACACTGATCCTTGCTGCCCTTTTTGCGGATAGTTGACATGATAGATAATTTCCATTCGTTTGGTAATTCGGCCCCATTCAAGCAGTCTTGAAAAAGTTTTTTCTTGACTGTTCCTGCAGTTTGTCTGTACCGGCTTTCACCAATTCTGCAGGGATGTCACCAGGACCAGGGGATTTTCCATTTTTCAGGCATTTGGTTATTTCTTCCATCTCTGATTTACTTATTTGTAATGGTGATGAATTTATAAGTATACCTATCGTGTTGTCTTCCATGTTAGTAAATTCTGCTCTTTGTACTGTTAGTAATTTTTTGAAATATTCTTCCCATTTTTCTGTTGATATAGGTGATATAACGTCTTTTTTCTGATCATTTCTCATACTTTTAATCAATCTCCAACTCTCTGTGCTTCTTCTACCTCCTATATAGGTGTTGATCTTTAGGCAGTTCTGTTCCCATGATTCGTTCTTTTTTTGAGTTATCTTTTTTCTTACTTTGCCTTGTGCTTCTTTGTAAATTGTTTTATCGTTTTCTGTTTTTGTTGTTAAGAATGTTTGGTATTTCCGACGTTTATTTCTAATTTCCTTCTTCTTCACCAGTACGGTTTTATTCCTTTATGGTTATCGTCACATTTCCCCAGTGCTTCTTCTGCTGCTAAATGTATCGACCTTTTGATGTGTTCGTAGTGTTCTTCGGTATTTTCAAAACTACCCATTTCTAATTTTTGGTCTAATCGTTTTTTATACAGTAGCTTTACACTCTCATGGTTTAAACTGTCTAGGTTGTACCGTACTTGTTTTATTAACTGATTTGACTCGATGTGCTCTTTTTCTTTTTCGTATCTGTTTGGGAGTATCCAAATAAATGAATTTCGTAAAAACAATATCCACGAAACTAGCGTTAACATAGATAACTGTAACTGTCCATTGACTGTTAGTGTCATTTACAGTTTACCACAGTACACAACAAGTCCTAGAGTATTCAATGTTACCTAAATTTACATAACCTATTACATACACCGTACGAAAGAGTTATAGAATAGTTTTTGAAAAAAAAAATAGGGAAAATAACTCAAAAATGGTGTGAGTGGAGAAATTTGAAAAATCGAATCTTGGATACTATGAATCCTAAAGACTTCTACCACTTGTCATTTTTGTCATAAAATAAAAAATCGCTTTGCTCTTGTTTTTTTTTGTTTCGTTTTTTGAATATACACTGCACTCCAAAATTAACGCATAATTTTAAAAACCCTGGTAAATCAAATAATTTTAACGTTTCGATTTTGGTGCTAATATATTATTGTTACCCCCGGTATATTGTAAAATTTATCCACCAGCAGCAAGAAAATCGAAATTTGTCAAAAAGTGACCGTTTTAGAATCGTTACTCTTCGCGAAAAAGGATACACTCAAGTAGAACTCGCTGAACGTTTTAACGTCACCCAGTCAACCATTTCAAGAGTGTTAACACGTTTTTCTGTTACTGGAAGTAACTCGGGAAGACCCGGTCAAGGCCGTAGAAAGGTTACAACTTCTAATCAAGACCGGTTTTGACACTTCGTACACTGAGACAAAGATTTGTTATCAGTACTTCTCTACAAAATGAATTTTTTGGATCGGTATAACTTTAGAATCAGCCAAAATACGATTAGAAGAACACTTGCAGAAAACGACCTACACCCTGGAAGGGCACCAATTGGCCCATTGTTGACCAGAGACCATAGAAGGCAAAGATTACATTTTGCGCGTGAACATGTCGATTGGAATAATGACGATTGGGGAAGAATATTGTTCACCGATGAATCCAGGTACTGTCTTTGTTCTGATGACAGGAGAAACCGAGTGTGCAGAAGGCCTGGGGAACGCTACGCACAGTGTAACGCCGTAGGGACTGTACAGTATGGCAGCGGCTCGGTAATGGTGTGGGGTGGGATTAATTTAGAGGCTTGTGCGGAATTAGTTAGAATAGATCGCGGTCAGCTTACATCTCAGAGGTATATAACAGACAATTTAGAAGACCATGCCGTGCCATTTGCACCATTTATTGGGGATAATTTTATGCTTATGCAAGATAATGTCAGGCCACACACGGCAAGAATTGTGCAGCAGTATCGTCAGGAGGTTGGAATTCCTGCCATGGATTGGCCTGCAAGAAGTCCTCACCTCAACCCAATAGAACATGTTTGGGACATCATAGGCAGACGACTACGACAACTACCTAATGCACCAAACACATTAGGTGAGCTGTTTTTGCAGTTGGTTGAAATTTGGGATCAAATTGATCAAGAAGAAATCCGAACGATTATTCTCAGTATGAGAGATCGTTGTCAAGCAGGAATAACTGCCAGAGGAGGCAATACTCGATACTAGTACACGGTACTAGTATTTTCTTCAACTTTAAAAATTTCAATTTCGTCATTAATTTATAATGTTGGTTTGTTTAGATCAGTTGTTTGTTTAGATGTTTAGATTTATGATGTTATATTGTTAATTTCAATACATTTTTTGTAAAAAAAGAAAAGTTTTTTATTTAAGATGTTCTAAAACAACCATAAAGCAGAAAAGAACAAACAAAATTTTTTTTCATTATAACTCAAAATAAGAATTTTAAAATTATGCGTTAATTTTAGAGCGCAGTGTATTTTTGTCAAAAAAATCATTTTTAATTTTAAAAGGTGACATTTCGATAGAAATTGAATTTTGAACAACTTTTCTGTAGATATGAAAAGTGCATAGGGACAAATTCACGTCTTTCTCAAAAACGCACCCATTTAAATGGTAGGACACTGCAGTTTTTTCATATTTAGAGGTTCATTGAGCGTATGAAACAATAAAACCCCTTTAACGTAGTAGTTCTTTCTAAAGTACATAGCCTATCTACATCAATAGCTGATTATATTCAGTCAAGCTTTACGATATGCTCCACTCACCTGATCATTTGGCGAAATTTCATATACATAAGTCAGACAGAAAAATGTTCTTAACGAATGGGTAACGAAATATAGAGCAAATTTTATCCACGGTAAAACTAACTCAACATTAAATTAAAGGAGGCCAATAGTTAACCAAAAACGAAATGAAAAAGTGAAATTTTGCATAAACTGGGAAAAAAGTAAATAATTAGTTTTTCTCAAAGTATCAGAAAACAATCGTTTTAAAAATAAAGATTTAACTGTCAGTGAACAGAGATATTGATAGCTCACCCTCATTAAATCAAGCATTAAATATTTTGTTATGGAATATTACAAATTGCTTGCACACATAAATAGTTAGTTTGAAATTTCTCTTCTGAGGAACGTATTGTACAAAGCAACAAGTTGACGATATTCCGTGGATATTACTTTTTGTTTTATTTTATTAAATAAATTTAAAATGTACTCACCATCAAAACTTCCCTTTTCGAGGGCAAATTGAATAAGTTTTTCATAAGTTTCGTTGGACGGACGGTAGACAAAAACACCAGAATTGAAGCAGTCTGGCCAACCAATATCTGGAGCTGCTGATAATTCTTCCCGTTCAAATAATTCATCACAGTTTTCTAATATCTGTAACAAAAAAGTTCTGGCAACTGAATACGTTAAGAGCAGTGATTGTTTTACATAATGAAGTTTTCTTTAATGACTTTTTGGCAGTCTTTTATACGAAGCTTTATCCATCCTCGTTTTATACTTTAGTTATTGAAGATGACGAAGCAGTATAGGCACTATGATTTAATACCTTGAGTTTGTTTTCAATCCGACGTCGGCCGACGTCGCCCGATATCGGATCGGGAGAAATACGGTTCCAATGTAGGTGTACACTAAGGGTGCGGTAGATATTCTAGAGAAGATGGTAGCAGAGTATAGTTGCAAGTCTCAAAGGTGGCCAACAGTGTTCTTTATAAATCTAACTTACATGGCGACAGTAAATGCTTTTGTTTTTTTTTTAATCTCAATCCACAGTGGAATTTATCAAATTTAGATGAGGCGGCTGTTTCTTTTGGAATTGGTAAAGGAGTTAGTAGAACCCCATATAAGAAATAGAATTAGAGATTCAGCTATATGCTCCAGACTAACTAAGACGACAAAGGATAATATAAAGACTGTATTAGATACCATTGGGACCAACGGATACGACATCCTGGAGGACCACATTCAACCCAACGAAGAGCAGCCAAAAAGGGGAAGATGTTACGGGTACCCAAGGAGCAAAGATGACAAAGTGAAAATATGTGCCCAGTGCAAGAGGAACGTATGGCCACTACACAGCATAACTGTTACAGTGTATGAAGGTGGAAGAAACGATCATGAAAAATGAGCACCAGTGCTTGGCATTTGCTGACGATCTAACGATCCTAGCAAAAACCGAGAAAGAATTAAGAAGAGTTGTGAAGAAAATCATCGAAGAAGCACAGGCAAATGAAGATAAAACCAAATATATGATTATGGCAGGGACAGAAGGGTAAAAAGAAGACTTTAGTATGAGGTCAGAAAGTGGTAAAAGCTATAGTTTTAAAAGGGTGGACAAATTTGAATACCTGGGTGTAGTTTTTGATGAAAATGGCAAAGAGAAATGGGAGCTCGAAGCCAGAATAGCAAAAGGGAATAAAAAATTAGGTAGTTTAAGAGCCCTACTGAACTCAAAATACGTTTCTAGACAAGGTAAACTCAGAATATATAAAACAGTAATTCGACCCACAGTAACATATGCCGGTGAGACATGGACATTAAATAAGAAGGAAGAGGATGCTCTGGAAAGATGGGAAAGGAAAATATTGAGACGCATATTCGGAGGACGAAAGACAGAAAGATAGTTGGAAGAGAAGAACCAACAATGAATTAATGGCTTTATACAAAGAACCTACCATTACCAAGTTCGTCAAGGCACAAAGAATCAGATGGTTGGGACATGTGGAAAGAATGGCAGCAAACAGAATGCCTAAACTAGTAATAACCAGAAAATTAATCGGCCCCAAAAGAAGAGGTATACCCAGAACAAGGTGGATTAGTAAAGCGGAGGAAGACCTTAAACACGTAAAGGTGAGGGACTGGAAAATAAAAGCACAAAATAGAAGCGAATGGAGAATTATTGTACACCAGGTCCTTCAGAGTAGTTAAGAATGTGATATATACATATTTAAGTTAAAGTTCTGTTTAAAATAATTGTAATTGGTTAATATTAGGATTATGTTGTAAAAAAATGCCCTAGGACTTAACGGCTTGTTGTGCGTAAAAATAAATAAATATAGAATAGTACGATCATATAAGCCGAATGACAACAAATAGAGTAGTAAAGAGAGCAAGAGAGGGTTCCCCAATAGGAAGACGACCAGTAGGAATACCACGAAAACGACGTAACGACAAGTTACTGGAGGCAAAAGAAGAAAAAACATAAAAGTTAAATGAATAAAAGCTTACTATAGCACAATTAAACATCAAACATGAAGTTATACAAATAAAAAAATTGCAAAGCATTTGCAATAAAAAACAGCTGGGGTGTGGCCGCACCCAACCGGTGCTGGACGTTTTAGAATGCACCCGGTATTAGGAAGGTCAAATTTGTAATATGAAAACTATGAAAAATATGAAAAAAATAAAGTGAATTCCTCATTCGTGAGTTCATCAGTTTACAACAATTAAAAACGCTTAAGGTTTTTTTTTAATATAAAGTTTAGTTTAAAAATCTTTCTAAAAATATATTAAATTCGCTACAAATAAGAATGAAATGGACTATAGTCTAGTTTTGTAGTTAATTGTTTGTATTTAGTGTAACGCATATTATTTATTCAACTTTTAGGCCGCGTGTTGAACATTGTAAATTTAAAAATAATTTTAGCTCTTATTGTTTAGAGTTTGATACCAAATTAAAAAGCCACGCAATTGTTTCAAGGAAAATAATCATTACGTTGATATTAACTTTGAATATGGTTCACAAGAATATTCTTTGAATTTCACGTTTGCCTACTCATGAGTACATTTTGTATATTTATATGTGAAATGTCAAATTTAGAAGCATCTTAAAATACAGAAATAGCCCAAACCAACACCACAACCAATAAAAATACCAGACCGTAGAATACGACATTTAAGCAATGCGGTGTTAATGTAATACCGTCTGGTTGTTTATTTTTGGATAAATTTTACCCCTTTAATAAAAACATGTTGCGGTACTCAAGCAGAGAGAAAAGTATGAAAAAGGCACTTAGACATACCAACGTGTCTGCATCCAAAAATACACATTTCTCGAACTGCGTAAGACGCCAGCAGTGTAGTTTCGTAAAGGTAATTCCTAGTTCAGGTCTTTTCAACAAACGGAGATTCGCCTCGTCTTTTGAGTCTAATATGTTTACTTCTTTCACTACGTTGAATACTTCGTTTAATTTGGATCTGGAAATAAAAAAATGCATAAGGAAAATAATTATAATTGGTAATTACAATTTGAAAGAATGGCGCGCTCAAATTATTTCAATCATATGCAAAGTTATTACTTCAGATACAGTGTGGAAACTACTTATGGAATAAAATTGTTTGTGTCCTTATTATAAAAAATAATCAAAAACTCTGGGACACGTTAACTTTTAAATTTAAATGTGCGCTTTTTAAACATAAGTTTAAATGTACAGGGTGATCCACGCAAGTCTGGCATAGTCCATAATCCTTATTTTTAATGAAACACCCTGTATATTTTTATGTTTTTAAAATACTTGTTAATGACAATGGAGAGATAATCGTGGACAAAGAGAGTATCAATGATACCTGGAAAAATTACATAAGAAATTTATTTTTTGATGAGAGAGAGAACCAGCCCCCAATACCTGCGGAAACAGGACCACCTATACTAGTGGCAGAAATAAGAGCAGCCATAATATCACTAAAGGAAGGTAGAGCTCCAGGACCAGACGGAGTACAATCTGAATTTCTTAAACTTCTTGATGATGAATCTTTAAGAGTACTATGTAAAATCTTCAATAATATCTATGACACAGGCAATATCCCAAAAGATTGGCTACTTTCAGAATTTATTACCTTACCAAAGAAACAGGGAGCAAAAAAGTGCGGAGAATATAGGCTAATAAGTCTAATGAGCCATACATTAAAACTTTTTCTTAAAATTATACATCGTAGAATATACAAGCTATGCGAAGAGAGAATACAAGACACACAGTTTGGATTCATGAAAGGCGTAGGTACAAGAGATGCACTGTTTAGTCTACAAGTATTACTTCAAAGATGCAGAGATATGACTTGCGATATTTACACCTGCTTTGTGGACTATCAAAAAGCATTTGATACAGTTCAACACCAAAAAATGATGGATATTCTAACAAAAGCCCAAATGGATGATAAAGATCGGCGTATAATACAAAATTTATACTGGAACCAATCAGCCACAATAAGAACGAATTTTGGAGGTGAACCAACGGAAATGATCCAGATTCTACGAGGCGTTAGACAAGGTTGTATACTTTCACCTATATTATTTAATCTATATTCAGAGGAAATATTTAGTGAAGCCTTGGAAAAATGCGAACATGGAATACTTCTAAATGGAGAACGCCTAAACAACATCCGTTATGCAGACGACACCGTTATTTTTGCAGACAGTTTGAACAGTTTACAGCAACTAATAAACAAAGTAAATGAAGTAAGTGAAAGATTTGGACTTCAAGTAAATATAACAAAAACTAAATTTATGATCATCAGCAAAAATAAAGTTAGAGACGCTCAACTACTTATCAATAATACACCAGTGGACCGAGTAAAACAGTATAACTATCTTGGAACAACAGTAAATGAACAATGGGATCACTCACAGGAAATAAAATGTAGAATAGAGAAGGCTAGGAGTGCATTCAATAACATGGCCAAACTCTTTAAAAGCCACAATCTTAATCTGGAGATAAAAGTAAGGCTCCTACGATGTTATATCTTCTCAATATTGTATTACGGAGTTGAATCCTGGACACTAACTGAAGCAATGGAGAAAAAACTTGAAGCCTTCGAGATGTGGCTATACAGGCGAATTCTAAGGATATCATGGACAGACAAGATAACCAACGAGACCGTATTACGAAGAGTGGGCAAAGAAAGAGAGGTGATGTATACCATTAAAAGGAGAAAGTTGGAATATCTCGGACATATAATGAGAAACAGCACTAAATACAGATTACTGAAGGTAATCCTACAGGGTAAAGTATTCGGAAAGCGAGGAATTGGGAGAAGGAGAATATCATGGTTGAAGAACCTGAGGAAATGGTTCTCCATAACAACAACGAATCTATTTAAAGCATCAGTTAATAAAATAATTATAGCCAGAATGATTGCCAATATTCGGAACGAATAGGCACTGAAAGAAGAAGAAAATACTTTTAACAACCTGATTTCAATGAACTATATCATGTAGGGTCTATAATGAATATTATAAGGTGAAATTTTGAAATTAATAATTCATCACGTGTTATGGAATTATTTTAAATTAGCTAAATACAGACAATAGACTTCTACTCTAAGTGTCAGTACACTGTATATTGGGGAAAATTTCTGTTTAGTAACCGTGTTAACATTTTTTGTCGTGAATAGATAAAAACTGTATAGATAGTCTGCTAATTAAACTAAATCGGTAAATAATGCGGATTGTTATCAATCAGTTGACATGCTGTTGACATTTTACATTAAAATAATAAATTCTTAATTAAAAACTAATTTCTTGCAGAAATAAAAATGAAATATTTAACTAAGACCCACCGAATTGAGATTTTAATGATGATCAGTTATGGGGAGAATTGTAGAAGTCAAGTTGAAGTAGCGAACTTATTTAATCAGAGGTATCCTCAGTTACCTAATATTTCACAAGGTACTGCGTCTAAAATTTATGCACAATTCAGAGAACTTGGATATGTCAAACCATTAAAAAGAAAATCGAACTTCATTGAAGATGAAGTGAAAGTGGATATTTTGTTGCAGAGAAAAGTTGTTGTTGCAGAAAGTATCGCAGAGAATCCAACGTCAAGTTCACGTCAAATTGCACGTCAAAATAATTTGAGTCACACAACTGTCCTAAGGTGTCTCCATGAAGAAAACTTCATCCATATAAATTGACATTTGTGCAGGAGCTAACAGAAGACGATCCGGATCGTAGAATGGACTTCTGCAAAAAATTGATGGATAAAATTAACAAATGAAATAGCTCTTGGCACAAATCTTTTTTCTGATGAATCAATATTTACATTGAATGGAGAGGTAAACTGACAAAACTGTAGATATTGGTCAGCGGAGAATCCTCATTGGATGCGTGAGACACACACTCAGTATCCTCAAAAGTTGAATGTTTGGGCAGGTATTATAGGAGATCATATTATTGGTCCTATATTTATAGATGATAATTGACAGCGAAAATATTAGCATGCTAAGACGATGTTCTTCCTGAGTTGGCTAACTTATATCCCAATCCAATAGATCCGACCCTACCGCATGAAACTGTCTGGTTCCAGCAGGACGGTGCAACACCCCATTATGCTTTAATGGTGAGAAATCACTTGCATGAAATCTTCTTCAATAAGTGGATTTGATAAAGGGGACTATTGAGTGGCCAGCTAGGTCACCAGATCTTACGCCTTTGGATTTTTTTGTGGGTTTATCTCAAGAACAAAGTGTATGCAACACAATCAACGAAGACCTCAAAAAGAAAGGATAACTACAGAAATACGGAATATTTCACCTCAAACTTTAAACAAAGTTCGGAACGAGTTTTATAGGAGACTGTGTATTGCCAACAACAAGGTGGAGAACATGTTGAGCATTTATTTTAATGTAATCCAATCAATTACCTCGGGTATTCTATGAATTCATTGTCTTGAAGAAAATACCTAATTTCAAAATTTCACCTTGTATTATTCATAACAGACCCTACATGATATAGTTCGTTGAAATCAGGTTGTTAATGAGCTTTTAAAAACATGAAAATATATAGGGTGTTTCATTTAAAATACAGATTCTGCACTATGCCAGACTTGCATTGATCACCCTGTACATTCAAATTTATGTCTAAAAAGCGTACATTTAAATTTAAAAGTTAAGGTATCTCAACGTTTTTTATTATTTTCTAAAATAAGGACACAAACAATTTTATTCCATAAGTGGTTTCCACACTGTATACAATATTTTAATATTGTTCTGAAACTATCTTCTTGTGACATCTTAATTTATTGTTTTTAATGGGAATAAGCCATAATAGCCTAAAACTATCTTCTTGTGGCATCTTAATTTAATGTTTTAATGGGAATACGCCATAATTTTACTTTAAAATAGGTAAATTTGACGTTTCGATTTCAACTTCGTTCTAACGGAAATCGGTCTCAAAATACAAAACATTAATAAATTCAACATACTTTGTTTTTGTTACTTGGTAAAAAAGTTCTTCATATAATTTAATTTTATGTGAGTCATCGAAGAAGAAAAAAAAATGTTTGTTTTTTTTTGTCAACAGATGATCCAGTTATAAGTTACGATGAACACAGCAAAGTGACTTTTTTGCATCTTGGAAAATTAGCTGTCATTTGCTCATTTTTTAATATTTTTCTTAAAAAATTTCAGAAAATACTCTTGAAATATTGCACTATACTGTACAGATGTTATAAATATGTTTATATTAAATAATTTTTCAAAAATAACTTTTAAAAAATTAATAAACTGGAATAATAAAAAACCTTAAATACATTTTTTTAATTTCATAATTCCCTAATTTCTCTACTATCTTGATAATATGGCAACGCTATACCGGATCTCAATATCAAATTGAATGACGTGCGATGGATTTTATGAGGAAATGGCCACATATAAAAATCAATCAAAGCCGCCACGCTGCTCGTATATCAACATAAAAACCGTGCGGTGGTTCCAGAGTTAATCAATGAATTTCTAAAATACTTTTATCGTACGCAGAAATTAACCGATATCTGCTATTATACAATACTTCCTGTCTTTTTACTCGTTCTTTAAACTATCAAAAATACGTAGAATATATTCATCATTTATAGTTTGCGTTAAATTTTATTAGGTACTTATACAAAAAAATATTGTCTACGCACCTATTACACAATATTAAGATATATATTAATTAAATCATGTAAGGCACCACGTTGCTGCTTCTTTAACATAAACACCACGCGGTGATTCCAGGGTTAAGATAAAGATTATTGCTTGTTTATCATACTATTACCTAATTACTTGAGCAATATGACTGCTTTTCTAACTCAGTTTCTAAATTAAAAAATAAAATAAAATCCATTATTTAAAACTATTTACACAAATGTTTTACACTTCTAAATCTCAAGACCCCATTTTTATCTGTTTTGTAGATTAGGAAAAAATGAAAACGTCCAATGTCT